CGTCTCACAAAGTCCACATATAAAACAGGAAGGTCAATTAATATTTAAGCTAACGTTAGGGGTAACTACGAGAGCTAACATTGGTCTTAAAGTTTTAGCGATAAGTAGCGATAGAAGCTAACTTAAGAAGCTAACATTGGAAGCTATTATTTGAAATCATTTTGGATGCTATCTCTGGAAGTTAACATTGGAAGCTAATTTGAGGATTTAATGTCATAGGCAACACTGGAAACGAATCTAGGAAAATAATATTTGAAGCTGTAGTTAATTGTAATGTTGGAGTGTTGGAATCGAATTTGAAGCCAACCTTGGAATCTAAAACTGGAAACATACATAACATTGGAAGCCAACTTTGGAATCTGTTGGAAGATTTCATTCGAAGCCAATATTGAAAGCTAACATTGGAGCTAACTTGGTCTCCCCGAGCGCTAACGTTCACGGTAACATTGGAAGCTAACGTCAAAAGTGGGCACATCACGTGAAGACGATCTTTGGAAAGGATCATTCGGAGCTAACTTTGGTCTCCCCGAGCGCTAACGTTAATGGTAACATTGGAAGCTAACGTCAAAAGTGGACACATCACGTGAAGACGATCTTTGGAAAGGATCATTGGCTTGTGTACCTAATGAAGTGTCTTATGAGAGTAAACCCACCTGCTTGAAAGAGAAGCTGGCCACTTGGCAGTCACATGGCAAACTGAGGAGGTGCGTTTGGAAACGACCTGTTGGAATATTAAAAATGTACATCCAATATATAATTGTAAAAGTGTATTAAAGTTTAGCAATAAATGTGATTAATCCCTAGTTATATCTTGTGTATGCATGTTTCTGCAATCGCATAAAAAGACAAATAAAATGTTAACCAGGGGTTTTCCTGTGTTCAGAATTGTGTGGCAGACGCCTAATTTTGTGACGTAAACATTGAACTTGTGTCAGTTTATGTTGAATTCTTTCCAAGTATAAGAAGTCACTATGTTACCTTTCAGGATTTGCATTCGCGTCAGCAAAGCAATGAAGTTGTCGTAGTCTAGTGACCCTTGGGTGTTGTACTCCAACCACAGCGTCCTTAAGCTGTCCTTATCCAACTCGAACCCTTCAAGGCAGAAACAGGGTACTCCATTGTTTAACTTGGTGTCTCACAGGGGTCACTACTTGAGCTTCTCTTGTTTAAAACTAAGCGGTGTAAGTTGTTGCTGCAAACTTTCAAAAATGTATAGTTGTAGTGGACATTTTTTTTAAAAAAGGTTTAAACAACTTCCTTGTGTCCCTGAAAGTGACAACACAGCAAAATAACAGATTTTTTAAAAAAGTATTTTTAAAATTGAAACTGGACATTTTTTTAAAAAAGGTTTAAACAACTGCCTTGTGTCCCTGAAAGTGACAACACAGCAAAAGAACAGATTTTTTAAAAAAGTATTTTTAAAATTGAAAATTTAAACATACAATTCACATACCGGTACATTAAATTCTAAATTAATGTACTGAAATAATACATTTATTTACTCGACCTAAATTATTTTATTAAATTAAGAGAATAACATTATTTTTACTTTCTTAAATATTTTTCAAAGGAAACAAATACACGTCTAAATGTACTGTTTTTTTAAAAACATTTTCTACTTCAACACAAACAGAAGTGGAATACATTTACATTTAAATAAACATTTCAATATTAAGATTTGTTTTTTATATTTCACAGAAACATTGGCATTTTATCATTCAGATAAATGCATTGGTATATTTCACATTTTCTTTTTCAAAAGTACAAATATGATGTATTTCAAATCAATGCATTTCTAAATGTATATCAATTTCTATTAAAATTTTAGAGTAAATCCAGATGAATGTATTTCTAATATGCTGTACATTTGATTTGTTTATTTATTTACCGAAAGGCAACATGATGAAAAACTGATTTGTAACTAATGAATCATTGGTTTGTGCATATCTAAAGAAAAAGCATTACCCCGCACGGTTAGGGCCTCGTTCATGTTCGCTTGAGTGAAAGAAGGTGGCTGCCTCTTCTCGTAGCTGTCCAGGTAGTCCCGTCTGGCGGCTGCCACATAGTGGTCCAGCTGGAAGAACTCCGCGACGTCCAGATCACCAGATTTGTCTGCCTGAGATGCTCGGTTCAGGAAAGTCAACACGCACACTTAGACACACATGACCACAAACGCACGACCACACACTTAAAGGATTACACACACACATCCAGACACACACATTTGAGAAGGATACATCTGCCAGCGTCACGAGCAAGCGCGCAGTCCTGAGGGTCAGCGCTATGTTTGGGAAGATAAACACCACAATGAGTGTAAAAAGAAAGCAATGTTAAAGTAGAAAATCTGAACTGACATTTTCCGCGAACCGAGTGGCCCCCAGCCTGCAGCCTGGCCGCCACGCCCTCGGCATTCAACATCTGTTGTGGTCACACACAAATCGATGAGAAATACGATGCACTCGAAATGTCCCATTAATGTTGAAGAACACAGTTAATTGTTCTGTAGGTGTGCTAGAAATCGATGAGAAATATGATGCACTCGAAATGTCCCATTAATTTTGAAGAACACAGTTAATTGTTCTGTAGGTGTGCTATTACTTTTGTCCAAACTCCTCATTCCTTCAATTTTGGTGTTCTAAGACTTTTGTCCAAACTCCTTAGATTTTTGCTTTTAACTTTCTGTAGATGTCCTGTAACTTTTGCCCGATCACCACATTTGTTCCCTATGTGTTCCAATACTTTTGTCACAACTGTGTGTACCAAATATTTTGCCTGCGAGTGTGTATTTGACGTGTGTTTGTGTTTACCTCTGACCTGTTGTCATCCTGCGAAAGAGAGAGAAGAAAACGATTAGGAATCATATCATTCACATAAATTGGTGCTATATTATTTGGAGTATTGTGTAATCAGCCCACATTAGTTCTTACAGTGTAATTTTAAAAATGTATTTACTGTACTCATGGTGCCGAAAGGAGAAATTCAACAATGGGTGATTAATAATCGATAATATTGACAGATATTAGACCGTAATAGTAATACCGTCATTCAATATAATGTAAGGAATTAAGAGTTTTTGCATCAAGATTTCGTGTTTGAGTTCAATGGAAATTATGCATTAGGTGTCTTTGCCACAAGAGGGCAGTATAACACATACGGTCACGTCCAAAAGTATTGGAACGGTAAAGTCCATTCATTTGGATTTCAGATCCAAATCCAAGTTTCAGATAAATGAAATAATTTGATCTCAAACCCACATTTCGAAATAAAACACATAAAGGAATTGAACGGCAGCCGTTCCAATACTTTTGGAGTGCATTGTATAAAAAATGTAAGTTGGTTAAAGGTTTATAACGAGAGCAATATCACTGACAGTTTAACGAACCCATCGTTGGCGTTTCTCTTTATGTGTTAGCATTAACTCGTAAAAGCTGGGGCACACATAAGTCTGGGTACCACTGTATAAAACATAATAACACATATACATACGCTGACACAGGCATGTAGCGGGAAGGCGTCACAGTGCAGCTCTTGGGGCCAGGAGACTCCGTACCGTCCCAAGCGCGATTCGCAGCTGTCGCGGGCCTTCTGGCAGAAGCTGCGGCAGGGGCGGCGGACCTGGCCGTACGAGCACCGTGGGGCGTAAGCGGCGCACAGGAAGGGGCGGATGTCGGCCGAGCAGGTGGCCTGCGCGATAGAGTGGAAGAAGGACATCTTGGCGGCGGCGTCGCGCTGGCTGGCGTGGCCCAGCTGGTTGGGAGTCAGGGTCTGGTTGTAGGACAGGCCTTGACACATGGGGATGGTGAGGGGCTCGCAAATACTGCCCCCCTCACCCACGCCAAACTGCAAAGAACGTACAAAATATATCATTCATGTCTTGTGTTGTATATGTTACCGTTCATTTAAAGCTTGTCTCCTAAATTTGACACACCGCAGAGAACAGTGTGCCATGCCGCCCCAAAAATCAAGAAAACCGAAACGCCGCATCTCCGCAATTCAGTGCAACATAGTTTCCAGACTTTTTCAGCAATTTTCTTCAAGCATATAGAACGTTTTCAGAAACAAAATCCTTGTTTAGCTGCTTCAAAAAAAAAGAAAAAGCCAAACTTCTGTTTCTTACGTGCTGGCATGACGCAGTGGTGAAAGCATCGCATTTGAGCGAATCGGGCCAAACGTAGCCAAATTCTCTAAGCAGTGGCTCGCAGCTGGAGCGGACCAGCTCGCACAAGGTCCTGCAAGGTAACCGGGCTTTTCCCGACTTGCATTCCGGGGTCAGGACGGAGCACAGGAAGGTCTTGAGGTGGGGTGAGCATCCCAAGTTGACCAAGGTGTAGTAAGCGTTGACCTGCACGCTGACGTCCTCCTGTGTCTTGTGACCCAGAATATTGGGCATGACGGTCTCTGTGTACGGGAGATCTTTGCACAGAGGCTCCCTGATGCTCTCGCACGTTCCTGTCGTCGTCGTCTCAGGATTGGTGTCAGGGTCCTGCATGGAGATATTCATATGGCCATTTTATTGGGAACAGGTTGTCTATGCCTGCCGTTGTTTTATGCTATGTTTGTATGTGTTGTTGCTCCAAGTTTATTAATACAGCAGGTTTGTAGGTATATAATTAACGGAAAACCTATGCTAATTCCCGTTAGCCCAGTTATGGTGTTTCAAATTAAATATTAGCATTACGCTAGCAGACTTTCCTTAGATGAAAAAAAAAACATGGCCTGGTGAAATGAACATTTTTGGTGTTTAAATATTCAATGTTCAATTCTGTTTTTGTTATGTCAACTGACAGTGACGAATAAACAGCTCATTCGTCAGTACAGTGAAAACTCATTTACTGCAAGGATGCGGTCCAGATCCACCCATACAGTATCGAGAGACCATAAAAAATACACTCTTTAATTTAGTTATAATAGTCGCAATATAGAGGCGAATCATGCTAACACAATGAAGTCGTGCAACTTTAAACTTCGACTTGTTGAGTCGATGAAAGGCAGTTCAGCTGCGACCCAACCACTCTGTTTCTCCTTACCTGCTCACAGGAATACGTCGAAAAATTTTCACAATTCAGACTTTCCGGCCAGCTGAAGCCAAACTTGTTCATCGTGGACTCGCATCCGGCGCGGGCCTGCTCGCACTGAGTTCTGCACGGAGACCAAGGATTTCCCGCCCTGCACTCGGGAACGTAGACGGAGCACAGGAACGGCTTGAGCTGTGGCGAGCACTGGATCTTGACCAGATGGAAGAACTGGTGCACCTCCAGGCCTGCTTCATCCTGCGTGGCATGGCCCAAAGCGTTGGGCATGATCGTCTGGCTGTACCGGAGGTCTTTGCACAAAGGAACTGTGATGGTCTGACATGCTCTGGCTGGATCAGCAGGAGAGGACGATGGTTGTTGTTGAGTCTGAAAGCGTACAAAAATCGTTTGGATTGTTGACCACTTTTAAATTGAGGCAATAGCACTCTTGGTGAAATTTAGGGGAAAAAAACTAGTGTCACAAATCGAGGTCAGAGAGGGTGGACTTGTCTATTTTTTTTTTTTTAACCCGTCACCAGCTTTATTCATGGCGTGAAATTGGGTGGAGACATCGATCACAACAGGTCACTTGAAAAACTCTCGGTGAAATTCAGAGCTTGTACTTTTGACAAACGCTTACGAGGGAATTCATCCAAAAGAGTTTCAGTTGGAGTTGCAAATAATTTTGTAATTCTGACCCGACCCGCCACCCAAAAAAAAAAAAAGTTACATCGTGGTCCTGGGAAAAGTTACAAAAAGTGAGTCAGCCACACCAGTTTCACCACACAAAATAAAATTGGGTGGACATAACATGACACACAAGTCAAATTTCCTCGGTGGATTATTTTATGAAATCTTAAACAAAATGCAGAATCGTGAAAGCATCACCAAGGCTCTAAATTACTCGAGTCATTTACTGCACAGTAGTGGATCTGTGCACGTGGCCTACGTAACACATCTAAAAGCAATTAAATGTGACAACTGTAACTAAAGTAACTTGACAATATTGGTGACTAACCTGCACACAGTTGGATTCAGGCAAAGCATCACACTGCAGCTTGCTGGGCCAGGCCAGCCGTTTGGCTTTGAGGGTGGCATCGCACTCGCTCTTCACCTTCTGGCACAAGGCCCTGCATGGCTTCACGCGGGCGTCGTCTTCCGAGCATTCTGGGAAGGCCACGCGGCACAGGAGAACGGCGGCGTTCGGTGAGCAGCCCGACTCCACGATCTGACTCAATTGCTGTACGCTAAAGCCCTGCACACCGGCCGGGTACCGGCTGGTGCTGTAGCCCACGTTTCGGCAGAAAGAGGCGGTCAGCGGCCGGCAGCTGAGATGATCGTCCTTGGCGCCGAACGTCCTGCATAGAGACGGCAGGAGAACCAACGTCACTAGGAACAAATGCAACATGGTTGTCGTCTCTGATGGCCAGCTTGAGAAATATAAAGTCAACTCAAATGTTGTTCAACACTAGAACACAGCTACTCTGTTGGTGGACTTCAACCTGCTTGCAACATCGACTTAGCATCGCGCGCCTGTGTTTGTATTGGGGGTGCTAAAGGTGGTCGTGGTTGGGGGGAGGTGGGGGTTTTCACCAATGAACGCAAAACAAACCATGACAGATTCACAACCCCAAACTCGTTTTTTTTTTTCTTGGTTGGACGACAGCAGCCATGCTTAAGCTCGACACTACATGAAGTCTGTCTAGTTTTACCATTCAAATAAAATCCGTTGGTCTATTCTGTTTTAGGTCAGTGATGAAGCTTTGTAATGAATCACATCGCCAAGTTTTCTGTCTGTGTGATTTATTTACATCCATTGCAAGATTAAAAAAAAAAAAAAAAAGTCCACACCCCACAGTATTATGTTGTTTAAAAACCTCCAAAAAGTGAGGCTATTAGCTCGAAGTCCTCATCCCGTACAGTCCTTTTGAAGACTTTTATTCTGGAGTCTTCTGAGCCACCAGCACAAAATTCCTCGGAGAAAAATTTGGGTCGAAAAGAGGAACCAACTGACTGTGCAATCCTGCGGAGACAGAACCATTAGTCGGAACTTGATTGTCGACAGACCCGTTTAGGCGGCTGCGGCTCACCGTTCTCCTGCAGGTAGATGATGCGGTCCAACAGCACCAGCGTCTCCACCACGGGAGCCAGCAACAGCGCCAGGCTGAAGAAAACCACCACCCGGCCCTGCTGTGCTAGCATTGCGTCCAAGCGTCCCTTGTCCAAAAGCAGGGAAGGGGGCAGGCCCACCCGGGCCAGACCTAAGTGGGCATACCTGACACGCAACATGGTGGAAAAACATTAGGGGATTTTTATGTTTTTTTTTCCCCCCTCACTATTTTAATTATATTTAAGATCTTTATTTCAATCAAATTAACATTGGTGTTAATTTAAAAGATTGTGCTGTATAATACAGTCAGTCATTTTCATTAAATTTTGAAATAAATTCAGGGTGGCATGGTGTACACTGGTTAGCACATCCGCCTCATAGTGAAGAGGTGCACGGTTCGATTATAGGTCCCGGCCTTCCTGTGTGGAGTTTGCGTATTCTCCCTGTCCCTGCGTGGGTTTTCTCCCGGTACTCTGGTTTCCTCCCACATTCCAAAAACATGCATGGTAGGGTAATGGAACACTCTAAATTGTCCCTCGGTGTGACTGTGAGCATGAATGGTTGTTTGTCTATGTGTGCCCTGCGAATGGCTGGCAACCAGTACTGCCCGAAGACAGCTGGGATAGGTTCCATCTGGATGGATAATTAAATAAACATTTCTTTGTGTGTCATATTGATGGGATAGGCTCCAGCACGCCCGCGACCCTCGTGAGGATAAGTTGTTCAGATGGATGTTGGGGGTGTACCAAATGTTTGCAGATACTTGGTCGACTCACTCATTGAAGGTCAACAAGTGGGCTTTCTTCAGCGTCTGTATTCCTGCCCTGCGCAGATCGGGCCTGCTGTTCGTGATGACGACCTCCAGTGCGGCGCGGTAGCAATGCGTCCTCAGCAGCGCGCTTTCCTCGCGCAGCCTCACCACGTAGTCCTCCATGGCGTGACAGGCCCCCTCCCGCGCCTTGTAGGACAGCTGGTGTCCCGGCAGCCCTCGCACGTGCATGCTCATCGGGTACCCGAAATCCCGGACACGGGGTTCGGGGTCTAACTTTGACGTATTGGGGGGTCTGAGCACGCCTGGAGGGGCGGGTTGTTCTTTGGTGGTGAGCTTCATGTAGCAGCACGACACAGACGTGATGGCGCGTATGTGAGGACATTTGACGAAATGGCGGAGGAGAGTGGGGCTGAGGTCCCCACACGCATGCAGACTAGTGAGGACCATGTCTCGCTGGACGTCTCCCTCGAGGACTGCTGCATCTGCAGTGTGCTCAGGGGACCAGAGTCTCTTTTTACAAGGAGCAAAGGAATCTTCGGCATCAGCGGGGTCTATGCCCAGCTGCTGCATGAAGACCTCCCAGGATGCCTTTGGGTCCACCCAACCTGCCACGTGGCGAGGACACGCCTGTGATGATGACGGCTCAGTGGCAAACTTCTAATTAGAACAAAGAAGGACAGAGCATTTGAGATGCCAGGTTACTTGATGAGAAGTCTAAATGCTAATTCGTAGCGAATTGAATCCTAAGATTTGACAATTTATTTCATTTTTGATTTAAATTACCTTTTTTTTCCGCCGCTCTTTGTCCAAGGCACACAGCAGCTGTCCATCAAACTTAGTTGCCATGGCAACAAGGGCAGGGTCGGCCTCGATGGCCGTCACTGACAAGCCAAGCCCGAACGACAGAAACCGAGTCAGGTGACCCTGTTGCCGAAGAGAGGAAGAATGTTGCTTTAACGGTGGCGGTAAATACAGTATTCATTTTATGATGTCACATTACCTGTCCAGAACCAACATCCACGACTCGGTTGCACTCAGTCTGTTCACAAAGTTTCTTAACCAACTGAAATGCAAGAAAATAATATGAATGAAGCACTTTTTAATCACGATTGACATCCTGCTTACAATCAATGACAGTTCTTGAGTACCGTGCCCAGCTTGCGGATCTCGTGTTGCTTCTTGGGCTTGACGTGCTTGCGGAAGGCGTGTGCCAGCAACGAACTCTGATTCTGGTTCTCCTGAAACTCTTCGGGTTTGGCCTGAGCGTCCGGGCGGGTTTGTGACCGCCTGAAACTTCTGGGAAAGGCAAGGGAGTGAGCAGTGGCCCGGAAAGCAAAGAGGGACAGAGGCCACACGCTCGAATACCTGAAGAAGACGTGGATCGAACCAGATGACAAGAATAACAACAATTTCATGTTTGTTTTGTTGTGTTTATGCAAACTAAATCATGCATTCAAAGAATATACAAATCCTGATTTGATTTGCGGCTAGTTGCTTTTATTGAAAAACTGTCTTTACAAGGGTCGTAAAGGTCAAGAAATCTAGCTCCAAGCCTGGCCTATATGGTAACAGGAGCCATAAACGGCAGGTGCATTACACAGAACGCGCCACAGAAAATTGATTGATTTCAAGTAGAGTGTGATCAGTGTGTCATAATACCAATACAAATAGGAGTAATACTGTATTGAGATAAGTTGCTAAGAAGGGCTGGGATTTGCTCACACCTTGTGCGTTACAGTCCTTGTTTGTTTTTGAGAAAATCTCAGCCAAGACAGTGAGGTTAGAGTCTACTAAAGCGTCTTTTTGTATGACGTATACAGTATGGGTGTACCTCCTGTGTCCATGTCCCGCATCTAGCAGCAACTCTGCTATTTGATAATAGGACAAATGCTGCAGAACAGACTGCCAGCTGACAGGCAATTTGTGCCACAAATCTTCAGTGAAGAACTCCTTTAATAAACACAATATGAAGAAGCCGGTGAGAGGAGATAAAGGAGAGCTTTGAAGAGTTACATTATATCAGACAAATCTTACTCACAATGATATATGACTCGGACAAGTATGTATACTGTGATAAAAATGAAGTGATTCTTTTGGCGAGCTCTTTCTGTTCATGTGCGGAAAGACTTAGGTTTGAACTGTCCCACATTTTGTCGTGATGATGTCGCTTCACTCGAACATGCAAATCCGAAGCAAGCGAAAAGCTAACCACACACACGAGCCATTCTTGGATTACACGCGAGTTAAAATATCGAGTGCGTGAACCCACGCGTCTCGTTAAGTATTCGTAGACATCTTTGAATGATATAACGTTGTTTATCCAGTCACGGTGACGACAATCACGCGGAGTTGATGATTTTAGTCTCTAGCTGCCAAGCTAACTTTCCAAATGAACACTGGCGCGTTCAATGCCCTCGGGTAAATTTGAGAGGTTTTACCCTTTAAAGGCACAACAAAAGATAGAGCAAATACAAACAGGACATACGTTACGATTGGATAGATTACGTTCCTACAATGTATTGGTAATTAAATGACATCACTGGAGTTTGTCAAATGGTAATTATGTTTGCATAAAGGTGTAGTGCTTGACAAATGGTTTTCCCTGAAGGCAGCACAACCCGGTAGTAGATATTTGTCATTTGTTCAAAACGCCGGTTTCCACAATATGCTACAGGTCTGTTTTTTCTTCTTTTCTTAAAACACAGTCGAAGTTGATATTTCATTAATGTCCAAAACATGTTATAGGCTGTTGTCAGATGTTATGTATGTGCCACGTGTGACGATTGATATTCCGTAAATGAGAGTAGTAGTACGCCCGTTAGCATTAGCTAGCATCGCCATGCTTACATTGACGTCAAAATCGCAGTGTTGACAATGATAACAATACTTACAAGGGGTAATCATTTGACGATTTTCAAACTTTAAATTAGAAAAGTTGGAAAAGGAAATGTAAAACACTTCTGGGTCTCAGGAATTAAATATATTTTTACAACATTGTATTTCTTACCCTGGTGAAATTGACTCATTTTAGGGGCACGGAGTGAGCCTGCCTTCACTCTGCCTCATAAACTCCTGGGCCAGTTATGACACCCACACAAATGGTACATAATCGCCTATAAATGACACACGATGGTGGCAAAGCACTACTTTTATCAAAATGAAAACTCCTCAAATCACTTCCAACAGAACATGTGACTCCACCAGACGATGGAAAAGCACTACACCTCTTCAACAGTTTTTCTTGGTGGCATTGCACTATTTTATCTAAATGAAGCCTCAACTGACTCAAATGTAGTTCCTTCAATAAATTTACTAAGCTAATATTTGTATGGGAGGATTGGGTGTGTGAAACCTCAAATAAATGTTTTACACTTCTTTTTGTTACAGCTCATATCCTCTCAGATATTTTCAGCTGGAGTGTAAGTGAGCTGACCAAATAGCTGTCAAGATGTCTGACATCATGTTCAATGTGTGCTTTTCTGGCGACTCTTCTTCATCCGGAGCAAAGATAAAAAACAGGATGCATCAAAACAAGACGGAACAACACAATGTAGCGCTTAAATTCAAGAAACGGAAAAGGAAGAAGTTTACAAAGACATCAGAACAAAGAATCATGTCCACACAACGTCCATCCTCTCATCCCACCACATCAAACCAGGTTCTACTTCATGCAGGGAGCTCCAACGAGCCTTCGTCACACCAGCAGCAGCCTTTCACTGCCATGAACTCCCACACCAAAGCATCAAAACAAAACTTGAAACCAATTTCGGTCACCAAGTGCCAACCATCCGGCATACCCTGCAAGTACCTTGCCATGGACTGCGAGATGGTGGGCACAGGTCCCAAAGGAAGCGTCAGCCAGCTAGGACGTTGCAGCATCGTGTCCTATGAGGGCGACGTGGTGTATGACAAGTTCGTTAAGCCCTCGGTTCCTGTCACCGACTACCGCACGCGATGGAGTGGCATTCGCGCCAAGGACCTCAGGAAAGCCACACCCTACTTCCAGGCCAGAAAGGAGGTGACCGATACATCATTTCCTCAATGATTGAATGTTAGTGTCCTAATACTTTTGACCAACCTCCACATTTTGTTCACTTTTAACATCCTGTTGGTGTCCCAAATGTTTTGTGCTTAGTTGTGTTTAGTTATACTAGTACTTTTATCCCAACTCTAGATTTTCTTTCACTTTTAACTTCCTCTTGCCGTCTCAGTTGTTGTGTGTCGAACGTCTTACCCAAAGGAAAAAGAAAACATCATGTTTTGTAATTGACCAGATTTTGCACACCTCAGAGCCCTACGGGGTTTATATTCAATTGGCATTTCCTTCACGTAAACAATATGCACCCTTATAATAGTCATGTCATGTTTTTAGTGTTTTAACACGTTCCTCGATCCCACTCGACAGATCCTGAAGCTTCTGGCGGGCAAGATAGTGATTGGCCACGCTGTCCACAACGACTTCCAAGTCCTGCAGTACTCACACCCGGCCGCCTTGACGCGGGACACGTCGCGCATTCCGCTGCTCAACCGGCGGGCTGGCTTTGAGGAGAAGGTGTGCGCTTCACTCAAGAGGCTCACCAAGGCCATTTTCAATCGCGACATCCAGGTCAGAATCTCACGAAATCAATGAAGTGATTTTTTTAAAAAACAAATGACTCATCACGGCGACCGATCCTTGCGCCTTCAGACGGGGTATGGCGGACACTCGTCGGTAGAAGATGCACGGGCCACCATGGAGCTCTACAAACTGGTGGAGGACGAGTGGGAGAAGAAGTTGTCATTGGGAAAGCAGTAGTAGCAGCCGATTGGCTCATTCTACAGGCTCCACCCACTCACTTGCTACTTTAACTGCTGCTGCCAGTTTGATTTAAGGCGATCAATACGTAAAACATATTGTCAACTCACTATGAAGGCAGTGCCGTCTTCCTTCTGGTAGGATGTTTAAAAAAGAAATAATAATCATCATTTGGAGAAATGTGTGACTGAGCACCAATAGATGCATCTTTTGGATCACAGGTGTTTATGTAAAAAAAAATCTACCAGGATAAGTCAATTCAAAATTGTGAATTATTCTTTTTCTTCTACTTCTTGTTCTTCTTCTTCCTCTTATGATGAAGATGATGATGATGGCTATTATTATTAGTGTGACTGTTTTTTTTTTAATTTTTGAATATATTATGTCAAATAATTAACACCATGGCAATGTTTGAACTCATTTCAACATTTTCATCTGTTGTACAAATATAAGAGAAGTGAAGCACTGTATAATACAGTATAACTGAATGCAGGTAATATAGAGAAAAAGTACTCAGTCTTTTGGTATGGGAGTCTCCTAATATGGCATAGCTCAATTTAGAACAATCTTCCTTGCAAAGGTACTATATGCAAATTTGTCATGTTGTCAAGGCCAATTTTCACTTGGGGAAATGTCCGAGCTCTGGACCCGATCTTTCCAACTCTTGAAGTCATTCTTTCATTCCTCTGGATGTCATGTTATGCTCAAAAAAGGTGAAATCTAATTTGAATTTAAAGACTAAAAAAAAGACTGTTCTCACTGAGCTTTACCGTATACCTGGTACACGGACATTATGTTTTATTCGTAAAATGTCTCAAGGCCAAATTCTGAAACCGTTTTCTTTTTTGAATATCTTTATTCAACCTTTTTACACAATTCGTCGATGATTTCCTCCGCATTAGGAAAGTAAAGTAGATTAAGAGCTTGCCTGCTGCATTCACCGGAATACTTGATTTCAATATAGTATGGATACCTGCTGGGTGAACTTATTGAGAGCATGAATAATTGCCACATGCGGTGCCCAGCCATGGGAGCTAATTCACTTTTTATTAGCCTCATGCAGGAATTTGTTCATGTTGCACATTGTTATCCAAGTAGCTTATTCACAGCGAGGAGCCATCTGGACAAAACATGTTGTCGTGATACCGGTTGACTTTTTATTTCCTATAGACCGGCACTAAATGTCATCATTTCAATGTTATCACATTGCGGGTCACTCGATCTGATTAAAAATCACTTTTGACTTCCTGCAGTTGTCCCGATATTTTTATTCTAACTGAACAATTTCTTCTTTTCACTACGTAGATGTCCCAACGCCACAGTTTTCCCAATTACTAACATCTGTATGTGTCCCACTGACTTTTTCAGTTCACCATAGTAGTACTTTGTCCACTTGACCCAATTCTTTTGGCCAAACTTAAGTTTTTGTCTGGACGCTTTTAATTTCCTCCCAAATACTTTTGAACTCTACTTTTTTTCCCCACTTGTCTCAATACTTGGAGGCTTTGAAGTATTTAAACAGATTAGTTGACCACCACATGTGTTCCCATCAGGCAGCAGTGGTGGCATTTTTCCAGACAGGCAGGGAAGGATGTAATGGAGGTGTTAAGGGTGAGGAGTTTGACTGGTCCTGCTTGTGCGGCCCCCTCTCACCCCCCCGCCCTACCTCTCCTTTATCTCCTCTCACCGGAGCTGTCTGGATGGACAGAACCAGCCTCCCCAAATGGCTTTGACTCTGGATCTGGAGCTGCACCTGAACAGGATGAAGTAAGTACTCTTTTAGGTGATTACATATGATAATAGTACTTGAGATACTTAACAATATTTTGACGTATTTGAGCGGTACATACATACTGGACTAAGCATCATCACAATATGAGGATCCATTCATTGATTTTGTTCTCTTCTGTTATGTTGTAAACTAAATTGACCTATTAAGTTTATCATGAAAAAAAATATATTTTAATATATATCTATTTATATATATATAT